TCTATATAAAGCTTTCATTTCATCATTCATAGCTTTAACCCAATTAGGGTCTAAGGAAGCTTCATAATATGAAAAGGGTTCAACGGTTTTGTTAAGATTAGCCACAAAACATCTATTTTCATAATTCAAAAAAGAATAGTTAACAGACTTCTCAATCCCATATTTATATTTTCCCTCAATAACAAAATCACTAAACCTTTTTGGAAACTTAGATTCTCTATGAGACCTCCTCAAAGATTGACTATCGGAAGGGGATGAACCAAGATTTTCCTCAGAATTGTCCAGAGATTCAAATGAAATTGGATTAGGTTGCAAACCAAGTGTTTCACAACCTGGAGAACCTTCCTGATCAGAAAGAGTTGCAGCTCTATTTAAACTACCTTCATAATTAGAATCAATTGAACTCACAGGTTGATCAACACTAATATCACCCTCCTGATAAGTACCATCTAAATTTCTAGAACCTTGAATATCATCAAGATTATCAAACAATAAAATTTCATCAATGGAAAAAGGATCCCATGGACCATGATCATTCAAGGAAGAAGACTCAAGAGAATCAAATAAAGCACCAGATTTTGAAGCCATTTTAAAAGGAAAAACAGACTCATAGAACTTCACATCCCTGGAGAAAAAAGAAATTCCACTATCAATACTAAACAATTTATATCCTTTCTTAACATTTGAATAACCAATTAAAACACACTTTTCAGATCTTTCAGACAATTTATCTTTAATATCTAGTTTAGTTGAAAAACACAAACACCCAAAAACTCTGATTTTACCAAAATCAGGAACACATTTATAAACAAGTTCAAAATGAGTTTTACCATTTAAAACAGAAGAGGGAGTTCTATTTATTAAAAAAACAACTGTAAGAACCGCATCTCCCCAAAACTTTCTAGGCAAACCAGACTGAAATAAAAGAGACCTAGAAACATTTAAAAGATGTCTGTGTTTTCTCTCCACAACACCATTCTGTTGTGGAGTATGAACACATGAAGTTTGATGAACAATACCCCTTCTTTCAAGAAAAGTTTTCATATTAAAATTCACAAACTCAGATCCATTATCAGACCTGATTGTTTTTATTTTAACACTAAATTAATTTTCAAGTAAAGCTTGATACTCTTGAAAACAAAATAAAACATCACTTTTAGACTTCAAAAGATAAACCCAAGTAGCTCTAGAAAAATCATCAACAATAGTGAGAAAGAATCTAAAACCACCAACAGCAAGAACTTTATAAGGACCCCAAACATCCAGATGAATAAGTTCACCAAGTTTACTAGTCTTATGCTCACTTAATGGAAAAGGTTCCCTAGTTTGTTTTGCCTTATGGCAAACTTCACATAGCATAACATTTTCATGTTCAAAGTTAAGAAGAGGTTTTAACACATTTAAAGCCTTATCAGCAGGATGACCTAATCTATTATGCCAAGTAAGTTTAGAGACAAAACACTTAGAATAATTAACAATACTTGACCTACCTAGAGAGTAATTGTTATTTTCAAGATAGTAAAGACCTCCAAATTCTTTACCAGTCTTCACAGTCATTTTGGAGAGAGAATCCTGAACATAGCAATTATTCTCATCAAAAGTAACTTTACATTTGTTTTCTTTACACAACTTATGAACAGATAAGAGATTCACATGAAAATCAGGAACAACAAAAACATCAGTTAAACATATAAAATCTGAAAGATTCATGTTTCCAATTTTGTCAATCTTGGCAGTGGATCCATTAGGGTGATCCACCTTTAAATTTAGTTTGGAAACATCAACCATATCAAACAGTTGTGATTCAGAGGCAGTCATATGTTGACTAGCTCCTGAATCAACAACCCAACTATTATTTTTAAAAGAAACATTATTACACATCATACCTGCCATATTGGCATTTCCAGTAACATCTTCTGATGATTGTTTCTCATTAAGAAGAGCCAAAACTTTAGAAAATTGTTCACTTGTCAAAAATGTTGCTTAGACTTATCAGAATGAGTTACTGAAGAATTAAAATTCTCACTTCCAGGTGAACTAACATGAGAAGCAGTTCCAGATGAAGAAGCCTTATTAAAATCAGATTGGGATACCCAATAAGTTTATAACATTTTTCAATTGTGTGTCCCGTTATACCACAATTTTTACAAACCAAATTCTGATTTCTACCTTTAAATTTCCTGTTATCATTAATTTTCCCAGCAAAAGCTGAAGAAGAGCTACTTTTGTTGGACAGAACAAAAGTAGATCCATTTTTTGATTAGACTCTTCTCTAGACACAACAGAAAAGGTAGTTTTAACATCAGGTAAAGGTTCCATTAGCAGAATGTGACTCTTAACCTGATTAAAGGACTCATCTAAACCACTTAAAAATTGCATAACCTTCATGAGCTTAGAATGACTTTTAGACTGAACAGCAGCATCACAAACACACTCAGTACACTTAGTTAGACTATCAAATTCCTTCCATAGACCATCAAGTTTGTTAAAGTAATCAGAAACAGACAAACCATTTTGAGAAAGAGAATTGATTTGTTGATGGACATTAAAAACAACATATCCATCAGCCTTGTAATAAGTATCACATAGATCATTCCAAATATCCAAAGCAAACTCAGAACATACATGCCCAATATAGATATTCTCAGACAAGGAGTTAAGAATCCAAGAACAAACAATAACATTTACCCTATCCTATTTAAGAGATCTAACAGGATCCTTTTTATCCTGAACTTCAGTACCTTCAATAAAACCTTTTTTATTTCTAACATTCAAAGCTCTAGTCATAGAGCTTTTCCAAACTCTGAAATTCTCAGTTCCTAGTAGTTTAAAACTAATAATAGTACTACTAGCATAATCAGAAGGATGAAGATACAAAGGATCATCAAAATCAACAGTTTCAGATTTACCAGAAGAAGAACCTTCAGGTGTTTCACCAGTCATGACTAACAATAACCAGAGACAAGAAAAATCATGAATCCAAACCTAACCTTAGAAGTTTACAACCAGTTTCTGTAAATCAGACCAGATTCGTAATCATATAAGATCAGAGCAGGATGAGATACAAACGTAAAACAACTAAGATTAGCAGATAGATGATAGATCTAAAAAACACCACAAGAAAACAAGAAGCAAAAGTGTGCGAACACTTACAGTGATCCACAAAAAAATTGCACAGCAAGCAGCTAAGTTGTTTCGATAGATCAAAAGATCTACCACTGACCACCACAGGGCATTCAAATGCCAGACACCAACTCTGTTAAAAAAACCCTGTTTGCACAATCTTGACGTTGACCGTCAGAATAATGTATGTGTTGAGATTAATTCAAGTTAAACCAACCCATACAAGATCTGAACGTTTACTCCCAAGATAGTGACAAGATAACACCAGAATTGATGGAGAACCAACTGCAAGATCTGAACCAGATCAACAAATAACCTTCACGATCTTGGCATAGACTAACGGACCAACCCTAATTGGAACTACAAACAACGGAAGCAAACCAGAGCCAGATCGAGACACAACCCCAAACCTGAAACCCTAATCAGGAACCCTAACACGGAACAACAAATAGCGTTGAACCAGTCTCTGATACCATCTTAAGAAAACTAAAAATATGAACACACAAGAAATCACAACATCAACGATTCTTATTCAAGTAAGAACCAGTTGGTTTTCAATTACTTACACATGAAAGCTCACTACAATCACACTCTGCCCTCAGATTTAAGTTCTAGTCTATACACTTAACATAGAGAAAACTCAAACAGAACAAGAAGACTCTAACAAGTTGTGAACGATTACAGACTCAAACAAAGAACTCAGAGAGAGAAGAGAGAAGAGAGAGAGCTCTTCATGAAGATGATTGATCGAATAATGAACCAAACACACACAAGTACCTATTTATACACCGGGTCAACCCGACTATAAACAGATACAACCCGCGTGTTCTCTTGATATGTTCCAGCTTTGCTCCTTAGTCCATATCTTTCTCCAACTATGCACAAATAACCCTTCCTGCAAATATCTAACAATACAAAGAAAACATAATCTACCCTAAATAAATAATAAATACAATTTAAGGACACAAAAGGATACGAGAATGAATTATAAGGTTGAAGAATAAGATATCAACTATCTCAACAAGAAATCTGGATTTTATGTATGTATGTGTGTTGTTCTTGAATCTAATCAACGATTTGTTTTTCTATAATTAGTTTAGATGTTTTTATCTTGAGATGAAGCATTTAAAGATTGTAGCATTCAAAGATTGAAGAAGATACTTCAGAGAGAGACAGAGAGACAGAGAGACAGAGAGAGAGGGGGAGAGAGAGGGAGAGAGAGAGAGAGGTGGGCCCCTCTTTTTTAATTATTAAAATAACTATTAGATTTAAAAAATTGAAAGAAAAATGAAAAATAAACACCCCAAGGGTATTACAGTCATTTCACTATCCAGAGGGACTAAAAACGCAACGAAACTAGCTCAAAAGGACCATGAAACCAAAAAAGTCGAGGTTTGGACTAAAACCCCCAAAAAATGCATACCACAGGGACTATTTTTGTATTTTTGTCTTTATTATATTTTGGGAAAGTTATTGTATTCTATTTTCAAAGTAAACCTTGACCTGGTGATAACTTATTACCGGGCTTCGTATAAGTTGTACTCCCTCCGTCCCAAAATTATAGTCCATCTTTCATTTTTGGTTTGTCCCAAAATAATAGTCAACTTCTAAAAATAAATAATATTTTTACCAAAATACCCCCTCATTATTACTTAACCAACTAAGCATTTAATGGAACATTAAATGCAAAGTAAGGACAAAACTGTCATTTAATTAAGTAAAGATAGTGGTAATTAATGATTTTTTTAATATGTGTGTTTTTTTTGTATGTAGACAATAATATTGATAAGGAGGGGAGTAATTAAGAAAATGTTAATTTTGGAAGCTTTTTGACCGTTAGAAGTCGAAAGGGTTGGCTTCGTATTCCGGCAATATATACGTTCTTCAGATATCCCGCTCTCAGACTATGGTGACCGATGGCGACATCTGTAACTCCTCCGCTCCCCGGAGACCAAAGCATCACCTTCCTTCGCCGGAGATCTAAGAAACCTTTGGAATTCGAAAGGACTGGTTTGTAGTCGACCGTTATATATACGTTATTCAGTCATTCCGCTCTCAACAAACCCAAACACACCCAGACCCATAGCGATCTATGTAACTACACTTCCGGAGACGTAAACACCCACAACTTTCAAATGAGACTCTCATTCATCTCTCTAGTCCAAGAAATTATCAAGATCGTTGTAAGTTTTTCTAGGGTTTTTTGTGATTAAGATATTGTAATTTCCTTTTAAATATAAAATTGTTGTTTGAATAAGAAAGAATCAAAGGTTAATTGCTATTTTTTTATCTTATTTTATTTTCTCTCTGCTCGTTGGGGTTTCTACTTTCTAGTAAAACCCACTCCGATTTGCTTATGTTTTGCTAATTCATGACTGTATGTATTTGTTACTGATAAATGTTTCATGTTATCTCATATAGGATAGATAAGAAACTTGCATTGGACTCATAGATTAATTTTTCACTTTATCAGTTTTGACTGAATGAGTTCGAAACTTGGCAGCAGCATTGACTCTTTCGATTTCTTTTTTTGACTGAATGAGCTTAATCAGAACAATTGTGTAAGACTTAATTCAGTAAGGTCGTTTCTTTTTTACTTAATGCAAAATGTCAAGGAAAGAAGGCTTTTCCCATTAGAGGTAGTTATAACCTTTAAGTTACAATAAACCTATTCCATGTCTATAAAAATGCAAGTTTTGAAGTTTTGATGGTGAATTAATGCTTTTTTTTTTAAAATGCAAGTTTTGCAGTAACAAATTGCTTTGTATTTGTATGGCATTGTTGAAACTGAGTAGATTTTTGAAACTTGAAAGTAAAATGTTGTAAAAAGATGATAGAGATGAATATTGTTATAGTCTAGACCTGATAGAGATGAATTAGAAATCTGATTGAATGATTAGAGTAAAATCACTGTTGCAATCTTTAGCTGTGATTCGAGAGGACAGTCTCTCCCCCCCTAATTTAGAGTAAACTCACTCCAGAAACAGAATACCTAACCACTTCTTAACAGTCCTTATTTGTACTTGTATTCACCACCGACTTAGCTAAAAGGACTATAATGCCCTTGACTCAAACAAACACAAAAGTCAAACAGTCACAACAGTTACTTCCTATTTCTTGAAGGAAATAGCAGCAGCATACTTGTTCTATTTCATATGTTAAGAAAGTATGTATTTCATCTTATTCTTTCTGGTGGCTTACTTTAATTTTACTCTTCTTTCTAAGTTTGTATGCTTCTGACAAGTTGTGCTTTTTTGTATTAGATAAAACATGTGATTCGTAACAATATGGATTCATTTTCATGTCAAATACGAGGACACTGAAAGGTAATTAACTTCAAATTCTCTTTGTTGTCTTGTTACTGTGTTTCCAGCTAATTCCTTTTGTATTGTAGCAATCCTGACCTGTGTTTTTCTTATGCTACAAGCGTTACACTGTGTTGGATGCAAATTCTTGATGTCATTCACGTGTCCGCTTTTGAATTGATGTGATATTATTATTCTTTTCACAATTTTTGTTTCCGAGGGTTTAATTATAGATCCTTAAGCATGCCATTATATATCTCCTTTTGTCAAGTTGACGACCAGTATATTACTTGATTTTAGTTGTTCACTAGATGTGAGTTTTTGAAATTTCTCTAAATAATTTTCATATTTTTTGCCTCCCTTGACCCTTTCCCGTTTCATTAGTCATTCTCTTTCTAATTATATGCATCTATCTACCTTTTTTAATGGTTATGTGCATGTATCATAATGGTGTCTGTGGTTATGCTGCACATGTTTCTACCTTGTTAATGGTTATGCATCTATCTACCTTTTTAACATGATTGTTGTTTGTACATCCATAATAAATTAAGAATACTTCGTTTAACCAAGCAAAATGTGACACTTGAGTTAACTTGCTACTGGCTTTTTCTTGGACTTGGATTGGCATGTAAAACAAGTATATGGAATGGATGGCCACATAACCTCTCTCTCTCTCTCCCTCTCTCTCTCTTTATTTTTTTTTTTTTTTTTTCTTTTTTTCATTTTCAATAAGTGCTTCACTGATAAAGTGCTACCTGGATAATGACGTCTTCAATTTTCTGGATTTGTGTTTATATTTGTGTTTGACTTGATAGAAAATGCTTTCATTAGCGATTTTTTTTATGTTAAAAAGTTCACTTAATTTAAAATTTATTGATGTGAAATTCATAAATAAGTGATGATTTCTTGTGTTTGGGTTTTGTAGAGCATATATCTTTGCTAGACTGATGGTATATAATATAGTTATCACTAGTGTTTTTGTAATTATTAGATTGTAGTAGTAAGATATACTTCTTTTTGGACCTTTTTTGTTGTTTGATTTTTGCAGACAAAAATTCGTATAACATAAGAGCAGTACCATTTTCTGATTTTTTTTCAGTGGCAGTATGTATGTTACAATCTTTTGTGCTGAAATTTGATCTATTTTGTTTGTGCTTGACATGTCTCAAGTTTCCATGTGCATCTATCTGTGTAGGCCATATAAGTCAAAATATATTTATGATTTTTGTAATGTGATCTGCTTAATTTCAGGTGTAGCATTCCCTCCTCGTGGAGACAGTGAGTTTCTTGCTACAGTTAAACATGTCTTTATTGTCAGGTTGGTGGCCCAGGTCCAAAAGGGAATTTTTTTAAAATTTTGGTCCTTGTTTTCATGGTTTCATAATAATGCTTTTTACTACCTGTGTGGTCGTCAACTCTAATGACCTAGATGTTAAATATTTCCATTTTCATGGGGTGATGAAATCTCAACAAAATTCCTTCAAAACTATTGTCATGTATGTTGAAGGAGCGTAACTACTAAACCCTAAATCCTTAAAAATATTTGTAATTTGAACTTCTTGTAGCATCTCCAATATTTGCGTCTTTGGCTAGGATGGTAACATTTTAAAAATATGTGTAATTATGGATTCTAAATTATAGTTAATCAAACATTAAGTTACTAATATTCATATTCTAATAATCTTGAATGTTTGTATATTGCACCATTAATCCATTTAGGCTTATTGGAGTTGGACTGTCATTTGCAGCAACTGGTTGTGGGATTTCATTTGACTTTTGGTCCATCACAAGTAGAATGTGAGTTGACTGTTTCAATTTTCAAACACACATTTGACTTGGTTTGTTTTGTTTTTTTTTTTTTTTTTTGCTCATTAGATTAAATCACCTTAATAACTTTCCAGGCTAGTTGGTGTTATTTTATGTTTTCAACCCAAAAAAAGTAATGATATTATTTTGTTCTATGATTTTTCAAAGATAGTATATTAATAATACAGTAAGATGCTATTTTATGTTTTTCAAAGATGGTATATTACATTTTTTTTTGAAAAACATATTTTTGGAAAGTTTATGTATTCTATTTTCAAGGTAACCCTTGACCGGCTGATAACTTGTTTACCGGCTAAAATCATAAACGACCCTTACACCAAACGGTGTGGGTGAGTGATGGAGGAGCGGTTTCTGAACCGCACCCAGTAACACCACAACCTGGGTGTGGGGTACGGTGAAAGATTTTTGGGTGAAAGCTTCCTACCCTTTTGTCTCTCTCTTCTTTCGATTGACCAACTTTATTTTATGTATTTTCTTTATTTTTTTTAGTTTTTAATATATATATATATATATATATATATATATATATATATATATATAGTGAAATTTGACAATTTACTGATTTTTGGTGAGTGAAAAACTGACGTGACACAAAAAAATAAGTGATAAAATGGTGAGTATACCCTTTAGTCTAACAAGAAATATGAGGGTTTGTTTTTTATGAAGTTATTTTGAACGGAAAAAGTTTTTATCCAATTTAAGATGTCCGTTTACCTTAAGAGAAATTAAATATCTTCTTATATTTTTTTACCTATATTAAATAATGACAAATAAATTAAAATATTATTAATTTCATTAAATATTACTGTCTCCTTAAATTTGAATATAACGAATAAATTAAAATATATAAATTTCATTAAATTTCACATGTTTCTCTAAATTTGAGTATGAGTAAAAAGGATATTTAATTTTTCTTTACTTAAATACGTGGTAACAAACAACACGAGGACCAGCCACGGGGCGCTTCAGCCGTCAAATGAATTGCTTGCTGTCTTGAACCCTTCTTCCCAGTCCACTCTCTCGTTTCTCGACTGTTTGCAGACGATGGATGTTTCTTCCTTCTCCACGAGCCCAAGGCGATGCTGCCTTCCTTCCTCAGGTCTATCACTTGTCAATTTCACAATCTGAATATAGATGTGTTAGGCAAAATACTAGATTTGTTGATGAATTGTTTCGTTTGTAGCCGACCCGAACGATGCGTTCTTGTTACTCTATGAATTCGCTGATAACGCAATCTCGAAATTTAATTTTAAAATTGATTGATGTTGCTTTCGTTTCACTTCCTTGATTTGAGAGCTATTTTAGATGATTCGCTCTGCTCTTTTATTCTAAAATATAAGCAAATGATTCAAAACTTTCATGTACTGTACTCCTTCCATTCGAATATATGAGTCTACATTTCATTTGAAATGAGGATTAATTGTTGTTATTGTTCAAATTCGATGATACAGGTATATATAGAAAGTCTTATTTTAGTCTTAAATTAATTCGTGCCTTGTTGATCGAAATCAAATTAATTCGTGCCTTGTTGATCGAAATCAAATTAAGTCATTTGTGTGTGTTTATCATCTGTTCTCTTGCAACCATTACAACAACTAGTCCGTTCTTTAAAACACTAAAACTAGCTGTTTGAATTTGCACACACATACAACATAATATACACAGCTAACTTTGAGTAATACTAACTAAAGCTGTAGATATGGTGGTGCTCAAGAAACATGGTGTCTCTCAATGCTATCAAGGCTCTGTATCCATGTTGGGTAATAAAAGCAGACCTCAGCCTTCACTAAATCAAAGTCTACTCTCAAGGCATAAGAAGTACCCTGTTCAGGTCCAATATCATTTTTTCTTACCTTTTCCATTGCATTTGTTTGCTATTTATCTCATAGATTAATTATCTATTTTCAGGTGTTAAGCAGCCAGAAGAAAGACATCCCTATAGTAGAGGCTCGGTGTGTCATCTTTAAAAGTAGTTATTGTTTTCAGGTGTTATGCATTTTAGTATTTTTGAAAGTCTGGTTTTAGGAGAGTCTTCATTCCCTTTCTCCAGGACCATGGATGAAATATATGATACTTTAGCTGAACGTGTGGTCCCAACTGCAGCTTCAGGAACAAATACCAGTGCAATGTAAGTTATAGTATTCAAATATTAAGCTATCTTTATTCTTTGGGTGCATGACTATAATGGCATTTTTTTAATAAATTTGAAATATAATATGAATGTGGTTGATTTTTATCTGATGTGGGATGTTTATGGATGCAGTCATATTGTGGGATTAGCTGGGCCTCCAGGGGCTGGAAAAACCACTATTGCTTCAGAGGTGGCTAAGAGAGTAAACAAGTTATGGCCTCAAAAATCATGTGCATTTGATTCACAGGTTCAACCTCCTCAAATTGCTGTTGTTCTTCCCATGGATGGCTTCCATCTTTATCGCCATCAACTTGATTCAATGGAGGTCCTTTTTCTATCAACTCCTTCAATTCTTTCTGCATTAAGTAAAAAGGAAACACTCATAAGAGAAAAAATGATAAACTCTGAATGTTTTTTTTTTTTACTTTTAGGATCCAAAGGAAGCCCATGCAAGAAGGGGAGGTGAGCTTCTTCATTTACTATTTATTTATTTATTTAATTATGTCACACCAGTTGTTTGTTTCTAAATATTCCAATCACTTGATAAATAACTAAAAGAAAAGCATTTTTCATGTTTCAAAATATCAGCTCCATGGACGTTTAATCCTGATTTATTCTTAAAATGCCTCAAGACACTGAGGGAGCAGGTAATTGTGCCTTGTTATATTTATCATTACGTATCTGTTTATTATTTATTTATTTAATTTAATTGTCATTTGATTAATTGATTAATTGCAATTCCAAATCAGGGGTCGGTTTATGCTCCATCTTTTGACCATGGTGTTGGAGACCCAGTTGAAGATGATATCTTCATAAATGTTCAGTAAGTGTTCATGTATTATTATATTTCAGAAAATTCCATGTCATCCTTTTTTTTGTGATAGTGCCACATCATCATTTGAGTCGCTATTCTATCTGCAGGCATAAAGTTGTGATAGTGGAAGGCAATTATCTACTTCTAGAAGATGGTACTTGGAAAGAAATTGCATCAATGTTGGACGAGAAATGGTAAATCTGCTATTTTTTACTGTGTGTTCTATGGAACCCCCTCTAGTTTTTGTAGTTACAAATTTGGTCCCTATACTTCACTCAAAATCGCTATTGTAGTCCAAATTTTGAAATCATTTTAACGAAATGCAAACTTAAGGACTGCTTCAAACTTCAAAGTTTGGGATGAACTTGCGATTTTGAGTAAAACAGAGGGACTGAGTTTGTAATTTAGTCATTAATAATAATCAAATTATTTAAGCTTCTTAGATTGTTTTTTGGTTCAGATACTACTTTTATGTATTTTAGGAAGAAATTAATGTGTTAATAAAATAAAAATATTATTCTGGTTTGAAATTTGGTGAAGGTTTGTAGATGTTGACATTGACATAGCAATGGAACGTGTTTTGAAGAGACATATATCAACTGGTAATTAAATGCATGCACATGCACATGCACATGCACATGATCATGAAAATTATTTTACAATTATTAATTAATAATTGGTTTTCCATTTTTCTGTTAGGCAACACCCCTGAATTCGCCAAACAAAGGGTAAATTTTTTACATGCTTATTTTGTTTTATTATTTGCTTGACCATTATTTAATTATTTTTTGGCTGGTAAAAAAAATAAATTTACATGCAGATCGAGTACAATGACAGGCCAAATGCAGAACTTATTTTCAAATCCAAGAAAAAAGCTGACTTGATAATCAAGTCAGTTGCTCTTTGAAGGTCAAAATCCACATTTTCCATGCATGTATCATGTATGTATCAATGATATTGTTGTGTTTTAGATTATTGCAAAATAATTCAGTGTTTATGAATGACTAACTGAAATGACACCAGTTTTGTAAAAATAACTAGAAAATAATTTATTATTTATTATTTTATGGTTATTATGACTTTAGATAGCTGAAATATATCCAAACATTAGTTTTTGCAGCTGTTGTTGCTAGTTGCTACAACTGATTACTTAATATACAAATATATAAAATATTTAACCATTTAAAGAGAGTAACGAATATTTATATTGGGACAAGGTCATTCATTGGTTTGAAATAAACAAAAATAATAAAGACAAGAAAATAAAGAAAACCTTTTCCTCATAATTGGTTTGTTGGATGATCTTTATTTAATTACTTTTGTTCATAAATGTTATTACTTATTTTAATTATTAATTTATTATGGAGGATATGTGTGTTTATATATAAAAGAAATAAACATTTGTTTGATATCCAAAAGCTAAAGAAATATTTGTTCGCAAGTTTATGTATGTCCTTTTATATGGTATTTGATATTTAATGGAGTAAAATACGTAAAACATGAATCTATTAACATATTCATTTGAATCATAAGAAGATGAAAACAATGATATCAAGTATAATGTTGTTGTGAATATTTCAATCCAAGTAACAAGCACATGAAACTTATGTCATTAGGGGAGTGGTGTTGAGTTCACATAACTCCATGTCTCCATCTCAACTTTAGCAAGGAAGAGGAAAGTCCGGAAGGAAAAATGATGAGATTCGACATCATCACTATTTAGGAATTAACAAGAAAAACTAGAACTATACAATTTTATTTTGTTTACATTTCTTATGAAAAACAAAATAAATATCTAATTTATATAATAAAATCTTATAACGTTTCTTAAAATATATATTAAAAAAGGATAAATCCTCATAAACAAGCCATTAAGCATTTTATGCCTCGGATTTTGTCATATAATCAACAAATATTCTGTAAGAGATGAGATTCAACATCATCACTATTTAGGATAGTTGTGACATATGTTTATGCTATCATTTATTTCTTTCTTTTTTCTTTTAATTTGACATTAATGCTTTGTACTTATAGTCAAAACATTTGTCCGTTTAATATAATTTATGAATACGGACAATTATGTACCTGTAAGTATACAATTATAATACGAAAGCTTCAAAGGCTTTAAAACCATATTGTGAAACACTAATGTGTTTATATTTTTAATTTTATTATTTAAGTATAAAAAATAAAATTAATTTGTACACGGTAATTTTTTTTTCATACACAACAATTGATGCAATAAAATATCTTATTATATCTTTACAAAACATAAATTATTATATACATGGAAAAAGTTATTACGTATGTGATCACTTCCCATAAAAAATCGTTACTAAAACCACAATACTATTTAAAATATATTCTTTTTGTTTAATCTAATGATTTTTTACAACGATTTCTGAAAATTGGATTTATAAAGTCGGTGTTTTCTATATTTGTTGCATTTTACTCCGTATTACACGAAACATTAATTGTCCTGTTTTTTCTTTTTGCATTGATAGATTCCGTAGACAAATTGGGTGTATACTGTATAAACATTTGGTGGGGATAGACACGAGGCATCCATAGTTGTACAAGCTTGTACTCAATGCATCAACAAATGTACTTTTGGACCGGAATGTGAATAAATGGAAATTGAGAAGGGCGCATAATTGAAATGCATTTCTGGAATAGTTGGGCCAAATGAGGCATAAAGGAATGATGGGCCCCAAATCCACTCGATGCCCGATACCGTGTACCAATGTACGTGTGTGCGGTGTGCCTGCCACTATGCTATTATTAATGTGGACCCCAAAAATATAATATCACACCAAACTTTATATGTATAAATGGTTAAAAAAAAATAAGTTAAATTTAAGGCAATTTTCAAAATAGCTATTATGTTCTTTTTAACTTATATCTGGAAAATTATCATATTATTATTATTAATTAAAGTTAATTATATTTTTAAAGTTTCTTTAAAAACAATGTTGATTGTTATTATAAAGGTGAAACATCAAATAGGTTGGCAGATGTATTTGTAACGACCTAAAAATCGAGGGTAAAAATTTCATTTTAATATAGTCAAAATATAAAATATCATTTGTTCTAAACATCCAAAACATCGTTAATTAAAACATTTATCAGAGTTCATCCCAAAATCATTCAATGCGGAAAACATGGGTGTGTGCATTGCGATCAATCCGAGCCCTTCTTTTCCAAATCGATGATACCTGAAACTAGGGATGAGTTATAAAACCGGAAAATCGGACCGGAACCGGAACCGAACCGGAATCGGAACCGGTATGACCGCAAAATGCTTAAACGGTCCGGGTATTGGGTCTAAAAATCAGCCTTATCCGGGTTCCGGGTATTCCGGGTCCGGGTCCAATGGATTTGGGTATTCCGGGTTTTAGAACCGGATTTGTAAAAAATCCGGAACCGGATTAAATGAACCGGAACCGATTTAGTGGGCCTTGAACGAGAATTTAAAGGATTATTCAAGCAATATGCCTACTAATGAATTACAGCAGATCGACTACTCAAAAATGAGTTCTATAATTCAGAGTTTTCATTTGATAGTTAAACACTTTAATCACAAAGTTTTGTATCCAAAACAAATTTCCAAATAAATATAATCATTAAAAATGTTTTTGTTGTCATGCTTGTTCTAAATTTGCCCTCTTCCCTTTAACAACATTATTTGGAATCTAGTAATTCTCTGTCAAATTACTATTTTGCCCGAACTTTATACTTTTATTTATTATTATTATTATTATTATTATTATTATTATTATTATTATTATTAAAAGATACAATCCTTGGAACAAAACAGAAAGAAATAAAGGTAGTGGTTATTATCGAATCTTTCGTTGCTCATTGTTGATAACTTGATATGTCACCGCCACCACAAACCATCATTTGAAATTTTTTACCTTTCCATCTAATACTTTAAGTTCAATAGTGTTGATATTTTATTTCGGTTGAAGATTGGAATTTTAAGGTCGACTTTCGGAAAGAAATAATAAATCGATGGAACCATTCAATTACTGTTGTTAGGATTAAAACCCTAATTGAGATTTGATGAACAAGATGCGGAAAATAAGAACAAACACAAATATGAAGATATGTCGAATGATCACTCGATTTATTCAATTATGAGGAACATATTACACTTTAAGAATAAGAATCTAACTCTACAAGAAACCTCACAACGTGGTGGCTACATTTTGTCTCACTCTTAACCCTAATTATGAATAATACATGACTATTTATAGGGAAAAGACAAGTCTTGGGCTTTTAACCTACACTTCATCAAGGGGGCCCATTGTCATCATCCATAGAGTACTTTGAAACCCTACAATCTCCCCCTCAAAGTATGGAATGGATGACAATGCTTTAACTTCCAAAACAAGCATCTAGCAAATAAGAAAAGATCTTGCAACGAGGAATATTTGTAGCAATCCACGAATCTTGATTCTTCGATAGTCTTCAACCACGGGTTCTAGGATTTATAACCAAGCACTGAAGTAATGTCTTTAAACTTCATTTTCGAATGTAATCCCAAAGATCTTCAATAAAGCCAAACCCGCCATAAAAACCCATTTCAGAACAAAGAAACCAAATCACTTCTTGTCTTTGAAGAGCTCCCCCTCCAAGTCACAATGATCTTCAAATAAGCTAATGATATAAGCCACCAAAAATTATCATGTAACAACCCAAAATTTAAGATTCGTAACGCTACTTGATCGAGAAAATACTAGAAGTCGGAGATATAACAAATCCTTAGAAGAGCTCGATGAAGAACGACTACTGTAAAGGATACTTCTCTGTAAAAGCTTTAGAAGAGCTTGATGAAGAACTGCTACTGTAAAAGCTACCTTCATAATTCTACCACAAGCTTTATAAAAATATTCAAATTTGAAAAGTCACAAATCCAATTTCGAATGACCATACCAAATTCTTGATGGGTTTTGAGCACTACAACATTCCTATGGTGTACATGCAAACCCTAAAGCTTTGGATCTAGTTTGTCTAATGAACATGCAATAATCATCCAAAGCCATAAACCCTAGATCTAGCATGTGATAATCAATATTAACATAAAAATAAGGGTTTAGATCTTACCTTGATTGTTATGTAGCAATAACAATCTATTCCTTCTTGTAATTGACTTCTGAAAGCTTAGAGTCACAAATGTCACTCCTCTAATGGCTCACAAACACCAAGAGCAAGAGGATGAAGAAGGAGAATAGAATGAGAACTCCAAAAAAACGTCCAGAAACCCTCTTGAAAAGGTTAGTTACGTTTTTGGGTCTCAAGGGGCCTTTAAATAGGTAGGCAATTAGGGTTATCTAACAAGGAAACCCTAATTTGACTGCTTAAGCCCTAAGCAGCCCATGGACCCCTTCTGGAACATGCCTTGGACGAAAATCATATGGGCTTCCCATAGATTTCGTCCAACCTATATTCCAAGGTGATCCATAGCCCAATTGCAATTATCTTATAATTTACAATTCAGTCCCCTAAGTTTAATTAATCTCTTTTAGCCACAAAATTAATTCTTAATTAATTATTGACTAATATTAATTAAACAATATGATTTCTCCTTTAATATATTATTCTCATAATATATTAATAAATCATAATTAATCCTCTCTCTCCATCCATATCATCATCCTATCAAGTTGCTTTGGTGAAGGCAACCCAAAAGGACCATGCACCATCGGGTCAAGTACATACCAAAATAGTTATGGACTTAGACACTAATCCAACAGTCTCCCACTTGGATAAGTCTAACAACTATTTTGCGTATGACTTCAGATCCTGATCTGTAATCGTAGCTTCCAAAAGTCGCTGTCAACTCTGACCTTATCAGATACGCGTCCTTTAGATAAGGGATCATATATTCCTCCATTCTAGATATCGTATAGACGTGAGACATGGCTTGAAATCATTCTCTCAGTCTATGTGTTGTTTCCCGATTTCTGATTTATGACGTCTGACTAATTGAACAAATCAAATTAGCCCTGGCCCGGCCGAGCACTTTCCTTTGTCAT